AACGGCTATTATGCTCCGTCAACTGAATCTTATTTCGCTACTGAATACTTGATTTACACGTATCTGCACAATGGAGTTAAGAACCTGATATAAAACGTACAAGTGCAAAATGAATATTAGCATCGAAGGGCCGCAAATGACAAAGACTGTATCTGGAACGCCTTTCAAATGAGGATTAAAGCAGTATCATGACCAAAGAAGTAGTAAGCTAAACTAGCTCGGTTTCTGTGAAGAAAGCGGGACTTTTTTAGGCCAGCTTGTGCTCATCGGTTTATTAGTGCTCAAAGCAGCTGTTCTGCTTTGAAGCACGCATTTCCTGGCCCACACAACCGATAGAATGGACCACGGGTTCTCGAAAAAAACGCATATTCACGTCGGTTCCTCTTGTTTCTAAATGACAATTTTGCAGGTGATGAAATTTATCGTGTTTCCAGCAGGCGACGCTACGGGACTTGGCACAGGTGGTTCTTCGTTCATGCGCTTACTGCTCAACATTGTTAGTGACTGCAAAGTGTAAGCCTACTGTAGATTTCTTTGTACGAAGAACCACAGCGTCACCATGCACTGGTAAAATCCCTTGCTTTCGACAGAGTTGTCAGAAAGTAATCCAGGCACACCGGAAAATAATCAACATTTTAAAATATCATTTCAGAAATAAACACTTTTGTCTTATCTTTTTCTATAAAAATTGCACAAGCCTTGAAAAATACACGCGCTTATCGTAACTATCGCTAAAGCTTTGTTCTCGCGTCTATTCCATATTATGGTCGAAGTCCAAATACGTAAGTGCCAAATCAGATCTGGGGAGATTGTTGCTCATTCCTCTGGCGTGCGGCGCTGCTTTATCGTCATGGTGTTGGCTAATGCGTCGTTTTGCTAACGCTGCATTACTTCATTGCCCACTTTTACGAAATCTGTGTTGCAAGTATGACAATTTCTATAGGCAAATTTAGGACCAAAGTTTAGCGGAAGGAGCGCGTGAATCATTCTGTCTGTTCAGCTGCCCAGCAACTTTTGCAAAAAACCGAAATTTTGCATTCTCAAATTCAAAATTGGACCCAGATAGCGACGCTTCAGAGCTGTTTGTGTAATCACGCATTTTTTTTTTTTTTTGATTTGATCCCGTAAAGAGAGGTCCGAACTACTGGGATGTGGATGCAGTGTTGCAGTTTGAACATTTAATGCGTCTGGACGGAAAGCTCATGCCTTGGTAGAAGCTCATCTTATACCTGGTAGTCCGCCCAGGAAAAGCAATCATCTACTTCTTGCTGCCTGGTTATCGAGTTATTTGGGTACGGTACTAAACATTCACTTGCACACCCCAGAGATATAGGCGTCCTTTAAAGATGAATTTGAATTATTTAGGTAGCACATTGGCACAAAAATTTTTTTTTTGTAATGAATTTTTTGCCAGTAATACCTTTGGCTTGCTCGAGGAGTAGCCAAAGTTCATTTTACGCCTGCATGCCAGGATATGGAAAACAAATATTTCTGTAAACTCAGGCGCTCTAATTGGCTAGGTTCCCAAGTTGGTATTTTGTCTGCGATTTCGCAATCTTCATTTTGACTCTTTGATGTGTCAGCGGACGTCAAAGCTGAATTTGAAGTCTTTATCTCACACAAGGACGTAGAACACTTCTGTGAAACATCAGCTTCCTATCCTAACTGGTTCCCCAAAATCGCTCTTTCGTTGAATAATTTATATTTTATTTCCGCGTACTTACGTTCACCCAAGCTCACGGGGAACGACAACTTTAAAGCGGAAGAGCCGTGCACTGGTGGACATAAGTCCCAAAAGTTTTAGCTTCCTAGTTTTTCTGATTGCTGAGCTGAAAACGCGAAGATACACAGACGCAGACACACACATACAAACAAAGAAACAAACAATCTCTTACCAATGTGCGTTTTTGCATTAAGAAGTAAAAACGCATAAAGATCAAAGCATAGCGTTTATGCTACATTATATTTGAACACAAAGCGCAATCTTACTAGGGCAAGACGATTCATTATGCAAAACCAATGCGGAGGCAATTTTATTAACAAACAGACAACCTCCGAAACACAACCACACAAAGCCAAAACAAAGGTTCACGATCCGAGCCAGCCCAACACCCTAGAAAATCTATTATTCTGTGAGCAGACAACTTGACAGGTTTTTTTGCACCTAATTCAAATGTTTTGGAGAACCAGGCCATTAAAATCACTTATATCCATGGTTTTAGCAAAAGATCAAAAGAAAAATTAGACGGCATCTAATAAAGTATTATGTAGTTTTCAAAAAATTTTAATAAAAGTCTACAATAAAAACAAGGGAAATAAAGAATTCGCAAAAGCATTAGCAAAATTCAAGTTCCCTGTATTTGAAATATTAAGCTTTAAAAAAATATTCCTCATAAACTGAAAACCTGTAAGGCTTACCAATGCAGTACCGACAGAAATTAGTAGAATAAGAAGAGCTGCTAGTGCATGAACAACGAAAAATAATTGGCCAACGCGCGGGCTGCCCGTGCGAAGATGCGTTTTTTGCAGAGTTCCTCGCAGTTTTTGTGCTACTGGCATCGGTTTTTTCGGCAGATGCTTCTAGCTGAAAGAATTTCAGACTGACCATCAGAACTGTCAGGAAACATCCCCTCAAAATTTCAGTTTTCTAGCTCCTCACATTCTCGAGTAAGTAACTTGCCCGGAAGGAACTTTTCACGGGCCTGTATGTAGGTACCACGCTTAC